AGGACGGATTGTGAAGGTTGTAAATGTAAAAGTAGACATTTTGTGGCAAGGAGGGGAGTGATTAACTTTGCAGGCTAGGAACGGAGGTCCCTGGAACCATGAAGGGCGAGAGTGGAGAGCAGGACCCTACCCAGAGAAGCAGTGGAGGCAGAGATGATAATATGGAGAGATGGAGCAGCTGGGGACTCAGGACCCAGGGAGGGAGAGGGCCTGTGTGCTGACAACCCAGGGGGAGGGGAGCAGGCTGGTAGAACGCACCCTTTCGTTGATTGGTGTTGTGTGGTGGGGATTGTGACCATGGCAATGAAATAATATACGATAGGATGAATGTAAAACTAATGTTCTCCCATGTACCCATGTAAACAATCACAGAATTCATAATAAAACTTAAAAAAAATTTACAACTACAAAAAAAAAAAACAAAAAGAAAGAAAAGAAGCTTTGCAACAACAACAAAAATCTATAAATTACAAAATGATCAGGGATTGAGGCAATAAATGAAAACAGGAGAAACAAGGGGCAGTGAGAACCATGACAGAAAGCTCCTGAGAAACAAGAATGGTTAGACTTTGTCTCTCCTACTTTAGGAATGTTATCAGGAGGAACCAGTTCCTGGAGAAGGATAACATGTTTGGTAAAGTAGAGCGTCAGCAAGGAAAAGGAAGACCACCAAAAGATGGACTGACCCAGTGGCAGCAGCAGTGGGCTCAAGGGTAAGAACAATTGTGAGGATGGAGAAGGACTGGGCAGTGTTTTGCTTTTATTATACATAGTGTCACTATGAGCTGGAGCCAACTCAATGGCCGTAAACAACAACATACATCAGACATGATTGAGAATCTGGAATGATAAAAGTAAAAGAATCAAGACTTTAGGTTTTGGGGTGGGTAAGCAGAGACAGACAACAAAAGCTCCTCTGCTAAAGCCCAGAAAAAGCAGAGAAAGAGCGGTCCGCAGAACATCCAGCTGATATGAAGTGAGAGGAGATGCACAAGAACACCTAAACTTGCAGACAGTACCCATCTGACCTAGCCTCAGTGGCTGGGTAATCAGAACTCAACTAGAGGAAGATTACACCAAAAAAAAAAAATTTCTGAGAGGTAGTTACTCTACCAACAGAGAGGGAAGTAGTCTTCACCATCAAGTATCAGTGCTATCCCCTCTGTATACAGGGTAGATAGGGATAGGCAACTTAGACATTGGCTACCTAAAATGAGGGGGTGATAAAAGCACAAAGTGACTGGCTTACAAGGTTTCAAGAGGGAGTTTAGTTTAAGAGTATGGAGGGAAAGAAAGAGTCCCCACTGAATAGATTTCATCTTGTCTAGATGGGTCTAATGAAAAGAGATGGGGATAAGA